GATTTTCCCCCTGGCAGCCATGCAAAGTGTAACAAAATAATTCACGACTGCTCTCAAGGCTTCCTCTGGGCTGGGAGTCTCTGCCAGTGTTCCGTCTTGGACCAGGCTAAGGCACTAGAGCGGGACTCGGGTTCTGACAGTAACGTGGAACCCGCATCCCCATGTTGGAAGACAGAAGTTAGCAGAAGCCCCGGGGCTGGGCAGGTGCCTCCCAGCAGGAGGTGGGGGTGGAGTGGCCCGCGCAGCCGCTTGCATTTCTCCCGGAGGGCACGGCTCCTTGTGGCCACCGCACCAGATCATGACTTAACGCCCAGCCAGGAAGGGACATCAGCAGGACCACCGCACGTCCCGCTGGCCATCGGCCCGCACATCCGCCCCCTCGCGGCAGGCAGCACCAGGCACGTGCGCTCTGCTCTGCAACCAAGCCGTGGTTCGAAAGCCGCCACGGACGCTCATGTGGACGTTCATTGCCAATGTGAAGACCTGTCCATGTGAGGCAGGCTGTAAGGAGGTGGTGGGGGCTGTCATCCCCCGCGGGAGTTACAGAAGGCTGGGCTGGCCCCATCCCCTGCCTGCAGCCCCGCCCTCCAGCAGCAGGAGCCACATACCCCGTCTGGTGTGCTCACAGAGGCGCGAGAGGCACGCAGGCAGCCGGGAAGCTCTGGGGTGGCCAAGTCGGCACAGGGGTGGGCAACACTGTCCAATTGTGGGGAAGAGGCAGGGACAGGGGTTTCCTTCTGCTTATCCCTGCATGGGTGGGCTAGACTGCACCCCAGGCCTCGTCCTACCCACCAGCAACGGGGCTCCTTAGGCACACTTGGGGCTGCACCGAGGAGGTATAGGGCCCCTCCTGCACACCTGAGGGTGATCCACCTGCTGCTGTCTCCTTCAGCCCGAGTCCCCAGCGCTGAGTCCGCCGAAGCTGGGGCCAAGCCGCCGCTCCTCTCTTCCTCTGTGGCCGAGAACGTGGTTTACCCATAAGCCTTAATGACTTTTCTTGAAAAGATTTACTATTTATTTGAAAGGCAGAGTTACAGAGGGGCAGAAGCAAAGAGAGAGAGAGAGAGAGAGAGAGAGAGAGGTCTTGCATCTGCTGGTTCACTCCCCAAATGGCCACAACAGCCAGGGCTGGGCCAGGCCAAATCCAGGAGCCAGGAGTTTCCTCTGGGTCTCCCATGTGGGTGCAGGGGCCCAAGGACTTGGGCCATCTTCTACTGCTTTCCTAGGCCACAGCAGAGAGCTGGATCAGAAGTGGAGCAGCCAGGACTCAAACTGACCCCCATATGGGATGCCGGTACTGCAAACAGCAACTTAACCTGCTACACCACACAGCACTAGCCCCGTCTTTTTTTTTTTTTAAGAGTTATTTATTTATTTGAAAATCAGAATTACAGAGAGAGAGGGAGAGACAGAAAGAAAAAGCCGTAACAATGTTTGATAATGTCTCAGTTCGGCACCAAGACGGGCAGACAAGTGTTTAGGTACAAACCACAGGCGAGAGCGGTCGGGTGGGAGACATTCACCATCGTGTGTGGAGTCTACCTGGTGCTCGCTCGAAGAGCCCACATCGCTTGTCCAGCCGATTTGCTCCTGTAATCTGTCCCTCTCTTTCGGGGCTCTGTTTAGCCTAAAGTCGTGCCGGGCAATGTCTTCAGCGGTGCTGACATGAATACTCAGTTAAGAATGTGGGTGAGCCCCAGGGGATCCACTGCTCCCGGAAAGGAAAAACAGGGAGGCAGAATCAGAGCAGGCACTCACACCTGCCGCTGCTCCCTGGCTCCCTTCACTGCCTCTGTGAGATCGGGGTCCTTGTCCTCGCGTCCCCTCATCTGCTCGCCATGGAGCCTAACAGGAGCCAAAGCCTCCGCTAGCTCCTGGGGCTCCTGCGCTCCCGGGTGCCACAGCTGGGATTCTCAGTGTGGTCAGGATGGCGGCCCGGGAGCCAGACAGCCCTGCCTGCTGTGTCCGCAAGCCCTGCTCGGCTCCCAGCTTACAAAGGGCTGGGGGGTGCTGAGGCTCAAGCAACATAATACATACAGTGCACCTGACACATGGGAAACGCTCCAGAAACTTCCAGGAAGCAAAGCCGATCCCCAACATCCAAACGCCAGAAACAAAACCCAGCCTGATTGGCGCGGAGGCCGGGAGCTGTGTTCCTGAGCTGGGCTTTGCCTCGTCTGGGCCACCTTCAACAAGGCTCCTGCGAGCAGAAGGTGTGATGGCCACCACTGGCCCAGGTGCAGGGCCTGCAGCGGCGAAGCCGGTCAGAGCTGTGGCTGGCTTCCTGCTGGGCCACCTTCCCTAACATGGGATGGCGAACAATACCAGACCCAGAGCTCACGGGGGTGCAGGGCGGGACCCTCGGGGAGAGCCCCTCAAGACCAAGAGGTGTGGCCCCCACTGTGGGAACCTTGGCCTGCATGGTGATGGTGCCCTGGGGTGGCCAATCTGGTTTTCTTGTTTGTCGTCCACTGTCTCTGGTGCCCCCACCTGTGACGGTGGGTGTCTGTGGATTTGTCCAGAACAGTGACCCCTCCTGCACCTCCCCTGTTGCTTGCTGTGGTCCCCGACTGCCCGCAAATTCAGGGCAGCGCCCAGCTCCCTTGGCCAGGGCGCAGTAGGACAGCACAGAGGTGTGAGCGGGTGCCTGTCTTCTGGAGATGAGGCTGTGCCGGCGCGGACAGGCTGGGGCCAGGGTTGGAGAAGAGCGGAGCTGGACCGCGGCTTCTGATCCCAGAGACGGCCCCTTTCCTGTCCCGACATCAGCCTGTCTCTGTGATCCTGGGCTAAGCCAAACGGGTTTCCGTGCATCCTGGACAAGAGGGCGGTTGAGTGGGAGATGGCGGAGGGAGAGGATTCTCAACCGCACCGACCAGAGCTGTGGGCTGCCCTGACTCACTCAGCGCCTAACCTCTGTGTGCAGGTGTCGTCCCTCTGCCGGGGGCTCCCCGAGGGTGGAGGCAGGCCTTTAACGCTCCCTCACCCAGGCTGGTGCTTGCCACCTGTGTACTGACTGTCCGAGACACCGCCAGGATGTAACGAGTGTGTCTGGAAAGCCCGTGGCTTGGGATCCACTTGTGCATCAGAGGGAAACGCATGCGTGATCGCGTTCTGCTGCTTTGAAAGGGCTGTGGAGCCTGCTGCTGGGGCGCAGGGTTCCCCTGCAGCTCGCGGTGCCGCCAGCCCATAGGAGGCAGCTGCGTCCTCGCTGCTCTGTTTCCCGTCCAGCTCCCTGCTGGTGGCCTGGGAAAGCTGCAGAACATGGACCCAGTGCTTGGGTCTCTGCCACCCACATGGCAAACCCAGGTGGAGTTCTGGGCTCCTGGCTTCAGTCTGGTCCAGCCCTGACTATTGTGGCTGTTTGGGGACTGAACCAGCAAATGGAAGATCTCTCTCTCTCTCTCTCTCTCTCTCTCTCTCTCTCTCCACACCCCCCACCTCCAGCCACTCTGCCTGTCAAACAAATAAATAAATACATGTTTAACAAATAAAAACAAAAGAGTAGTATTAGCAAGGACCTGGAAGACCCCTTGCAGGAACTATAGCTTCCAGAGTGCAGGCAAGAGAGAGCTAGCCCAGAGACAAAAAGGACTGTCTAATCAATATGCAGGCACTTCAACCGGCTGGTGGAAAATGCAGTTAGAACATAAGTTTATTTCAGGGCAGAACGTTTTTGGAATCCTTGCATAGGAGAGACCTCACACAGGTCATGAAAGGTTGAGCATCTGGTCTAGTGGTCAAACGCTGGTTATGATGCCCGTGACCCACCGGGGAGCTGGGTGGGCCCCCGGCTCTCACCCCTGACTCCCGCTCCCTGCTAATGCAGAGCCTGGGAGACAGCAGGGCTGGTGCAAGCAGTTAGATTCCGGCACCAGGTGGGAGACAGGGGAGACCTGGAATGAGTTCCTGGCTCCCAATTCTTGTTTGCTGGCCACTGGGGATATTTTGGGAAATAAACCAGTAAATGGGACCTGTGTGTGTGTGTGTGTGTGTGCGTGCCTGTGTCTGCCTCCCAAATTTAAAAACGTATGAAAATGAATATCAGGAAAAGACTATGTATGGGTTTCGAATTTTTGCACCAAAATAGACTTTAACTCCATTCTCCACAAGCTTCTTGAAGTACCTTCGTGCAGGTAAGAATCAGGGCTGGTGTTCACTGAGCATTTATAAGCACGAGGCACACATCTAAGAGTATCGTTTCTCATGTAATCTACACAGCCGCCCTATGGAGTGGGCTATTAGTGTGCCCGTGGAACAGAGGTGGAAGCAGAGGCTGAACTCACGGGGGCACGGTGGGGTGGGACGTGAACCCAGGCACTGTGTCATAGAGTGAATGCGTCCAGCTGAGCCCGTGACCATGCGGAAGGCACGGCACCCTTACTTCTTAGATGATTTAGCGGAAGCCCCTGAGTTTTGGAGAAAGGGCGGTAGAGGAAGCCATCAACGCGCTAGCTGATTTTTCCTGTCGTAATCTGACAACAATTTTTACAAATCACTGGCCTATTTATCACCAAATTACATTTCTCACGGCGTGATTCTTTGAGCACCTCTAAGTACTTCATAGATATTACCCACGTGACTTTTATAAATATTTACTAGGGAGGGAGAGAAAAAGAAAGATGGCTCATCTGCTAGTTCATGCCCCAAATGTCCACCACAGAGGGGTGGGCCCAGGGCCAGCCCTGGAAGCCAGGAGCTCAGCCCAGGTCTCCTATATGGTGGCAAGGAGCCGACCCCTCTGCGCCCCAGGGTGTGTGCTGGTGGGAAGCTGGAGTCAGGAGCCGGATCTGGGAGTCAAACCCAGGCCCTCTGATGTGGCTGTTACCATAGCAATGTGGGATATTCCAGGGCAGCCCTGTTCCCGCTGGAAGGAACGGTCAAACTGAGGCACACAGGGTCAAATGACTTGCCGGCACGCCTGTCTGTTCCTTTTGGGAGGGCACTGGTGGTGCTGTCACGCTTGGACCGAAGCCCGGCTAAACCACCTCGTTCTCTCTCAGGTTTGTGCATGGCTCCTCGAAGACCTGCTCTGCCCCAAGGAGATGCTGTTCGCCTGAGCTCCCCGTGACACTGTCCGCCCGCTGACCATGAGCCAGCCAGACCCCGGCGAGGAGCCGGAGCCCAGCCCGGAGCCCCTGTGCGAGGTGTGCGGCCAAGCCCACTCCCCCGAGGAGAACCACTGCTACACGTACGCGGAGGACGTGGATGACGACCTCATCTGCCACATCTGCCTGCAAGCGCTGGTGGACCCGCTGGACACGCCGTGCGGCCACACCTACTGCGCGCTCTGCCTCACCAGCTTCCTGGTGGAGAAGGACTTCTGCCCCGTGGACCGCCTGCCGCTGCTGCTGCAGCACTGCAGGAGGTCCACCCTCTTGGTGCGCAAGCTTCTCAACAAGCTGCCGGTGACCTGCCCCTTCGCCGGGCACTGCGCCCAGGTGCTGCCACGCTGCGACCTGCAGCAGCACCTCCAGACCAGGTGGGTCCTGCGCCCGCCCCCCGCCCCCGCCGCCGCGGGCAGCCCCTCCACCCGCCTCCCCTGTGTCCCGAGGGCCAGGCGGCCTCCAGGGCCCTGGTGCTCCCTGGGGTGCCCGCCGCTCTGTCTTTTCCGTTGCACCCAATGAGACAATGTGTTCACAGCCGGGGATGCTCTGGGTGTGTGGGGCTGTGGTCCCTGCGAGGAAGCAGCACTTGGCAGAGTTGTGCACACGCGTGTGCATGTGTGTGTGTGCGTGCGCGCAGTGTGGTTTACGGTGGGCTTTTTCGGTGTGGAAGAAATGTACGTAACACAATGGACCATTTGTAGCCATTTTTGAGTGTACAGTTCAGCGACATTAAACACGGTCACGTTTTGGGCAACCGTGACCACACCCCGCTCCAGAACCTGTTTCTCTCCAACGCACCCAGTGCCCACCGCCCACTGCACCCTTCCCAGCCCTTGCAAGCCCCACGCCCCCACCTCACTCTGGTGCATGCCTTGTCCTGCGCGACTGGCTTCTTTCGTGTCCGTGTGTTTGGAACAGGGAAGACATGGGAGAGACAGGGAGAGCAGCTGTCTCTGAGACGGGCATTAGCCGTCTTCCGCGTGTCTCGCACTTGGACCCGTGACGGTTAGAATTTCCCCTGGCTGGGAGCTGCCAAGAGCCAGTTGTTTGTTGAGAAGATCCAAGGTGGTGTTTTTGACTAAGGACTCCAAGGGGAAAGTGAGCGGAGCGTTGTGTTCCAAGTCGTCCCGCTCACTTCTGCCAAGCCGGCAAGACGGTGTGCTCCCCACCGCGGGTCAGGGTGGGCGCTGTGTGGATGGCCTCGGGCGGCCCCGGTCCTGTGCCACCCCAGGAGTGCTCTCAGCACTGCGGTGAACAATAGCTCCAGTTATTTTGTGCAAGGACGTTTGGAAGTGCGCGTTTACCTCGTGTGGTGACAAGGGCAAGAAGCAGGTGCCCTGCTCTGTGTCGGAGGTCACACACCTCGGGTCCTGGCTTCGGGGACACGCGTGGATCTTCCAGGATGCAGGTTTGCCCCGAAAGCTGTGGCCTGGCTGTGATGCTTAGCACGGGTTTTCTCTGCCACTTATGGCGGGGGACTAACATCCCCCCCAAGATGCTGAGCCAGGGCCGCTATCCTGGGTTTGTGGTCACCTCTGGCTGTCTCCTGACACTGGGCTTTAAACTGGGAAGCCCCGGAAGCAGGTGTGGCCCCAGGTGTCATGGGGGAGTGTCTCTGTGTGAGAGGCGCTGTCAGGAGGCAGGTGGGTCCAGGGCCAGAGACAGGCTCAGTGCTGACAGGTGCTGGTCCAAAGTCAGGGCCAAGAGCAAGGCCATGTGGTGTGGGGGAGGGGCGGAGCAGGAGAAAGGTCCCCCCAGAGGCCACCGGCCCTGGTGTGGCCATCGTGACCCTCAGGCTGTGAGCTGTGCGCGTCCCCCGTGGCTGCGCTAGCAATCACAACCCTCATGACGTCAGGCCACGCAAGCCTGGGGGGTTGTTCTGCTGCGGTGGTGGTGGTGGTGGGGAGCCCAGCAAGGCTGCCCCAGACCAGCCCCAGACCAGCCCCGAAGGGTCAGCCCCGTGCGTCGCCTCCCCGAGCCACCTGCCCTCCCCGGCTATGGCGCCTTCCTCCGGCTCCCGAGCCAATGCCTGGCGCTGTCCGGTCTGCCCCTGTCTCTCCTCTGTCATCTCCTCACCTGCTGTGGCCCCTCTTAAGGACCCAGTGCCTACACTGGGCCCACCTGGACGAGCCAAGGTGGTCTTCTCAGCCCCCGGCCCCAGTGAACCCCATTTCCAAGGTCCCTTGTGCCCTGGGAGGTAACTACCTGGATCCGAGGGTGCCACCAGAGCAGGGCTGGGCAGGTGCAGGGCTGGGCGAGGCCTTGGGTTCCTGCGGGGTCTCAGGGAGAGAAATGACACAGCGCACAGCCAGCTGGTGGGATGGGAGGAAGCGTGGGATGAAGGCTTGGTGGGCGCTCAGCTGAGAAAGCCATGCACACTTGGAAAAGGACCATGAGGGGAGGCCCCCAGACTGGCCGAAATCGAGTCGTTCCCCCCGCGGGGCTCCAGAGGCATCTCTGAGGAAGCCACTGCCTCACTGAGCTGTGGCCCTCACACCTGCCCGTGAGCCCTTCCACACTTCCGCTTCCTAAGTAGGTTGACACCGGTGTTTCCAAAAATACCTGGTGTGCATTAGTCACGCCAGGCTCAGCGCACCCTTCCTCCACCCCCGCCCGGGCACGCCTGGGCCAGGGCTGAGAACTTGGAGCTCACCCAGCAGCTGGCCCTTGGTCCCTCCTGGGACCACCCTCCTGCCCTTAGGAGGGGTGCTGGGGAGGTGAAGTGCCGGGTGCCTCTGGAGCCCCGCAGCCGGCACGCTCAGGTCACCAGGGCCAAGTCTTCCTGCAGCTCCCAAGTGAGGCCTGCAGGTTGGCACCTGCTGGTACAGGAGTGCTGGAGGCTGGCCCTGCACTATGAACTTGGCATTGTCCCCTGGTTCTTTAATACCACTTTATTCAGTAAATATGCACATAAAGGACATAGGGAGCCTTGTAACTATTTTTATGATTGACCAAAATTATGTATATATTTATGGTGCACACGATGCTTTGAAATGTAGAATGGCTACAGCAAGCTAATGAATATGCGTGACCTCACATCCTGACCGGTTTATATGGTGAGAATACTTCAAGTCTCAGACGCACTGTGCGTTGTTGTTAGCAGTCATTACGCTCTGGATTCGAGCTCACTGCTCTGTCTGGGATCTCGCCGGGACCGACACTGGACTTGAGTCCAGGGTGCAGGCAGGCAGCCGTGACAACATCCTTAAACGAAGGCGGCGAGCCGTCAGAATCCAGGCCATTACCTCAACCCCAGGACTGAGCTCACATCAATCCCTAAGGGACGTTCTCAGCGCTGCCTGCGGGGCTGCCTGACTGGCGCGACCCCCGGCTGCGTGGACAGCCGTTTCCGATTCTAGCCCAGGAGCCCTGCTCTGGAAGCAGCCATGGACTTGGAAGCTGGAGTTTGGAATCTTCTACTGGTGGCTTCTGCCTCATCTAGGGAACATGGACTCCCACACATAGGACTGCTCCCATCAGCGCATCTCCTGGTGTCTAATGGGGCTACTCCTGTCACACAGGGCTACTCCCCTGCACAGCTCTGCACTAGGCAGGTGGTGGGCTTGTCCCGTTGACCGACAGCCTGCCCCAACAGAGGCCATGGTCAGTAGAGGGTCCAGTGACGAGAGGCTCTCCAGGGTGAAACATGACTTCCTGAACCTTGTGTGAGCCCGACCTCGGGACCAAGGCCACCTCCCCGGTGTGTGAACCACCATCGGCACAGATGATTCGTATCAAGGACCCCCGACAGGCTGGGCCCTGGGTGAAAAGGGCCGTCCAAGACACCTGTCCAAGCCGTGCTGTCTGCCTTGGGGGAACGGAACTTTAGAAGGCGGAGGAGAGAAACTGAAAACACGCGTAGGGGATGCTAAAGCCGACCCTCCGTAAGAGTTCACCAGCACCAAGAAAGAGATGGCTGGTGTTTAGAAAAGCGGCCGCGTGAGAACGCGGTGTGGTTGGCCCACGACACGGCTGGCTGGAGGCCCCCGGAATATTTCTTGGTCAGCTTCGTTCACGGCCGTGTACCCTGGATTTTGTAGGCCCATGTTTCTGTGCGGGGCAGCCCAGGCGGGGCTCACCGCCCGCAGGGAGGAAGACACTAGGGCGTACCGCCGTCCACAGAGAGGCAGGCCTGCTCCCACGCCCGGCGGCCCTGCCCGCGGACGGGACCTCTCCACAGTCAGGGTTCCCCGGGCGGGCGTACCCCTCACTGCAGCTTTCCAACCCTGAACCCGGTTTGTCCTGTGGCCCCCCTCCTCCCAGCCTCTGTTGAGTGAAGGAAAAAGAAACGAGAAACAGGAGGTGATGGGTAATGACATTGGTGATGGGTAATGACATTGGTGATGGGTAATGACATTGGTGATGGGTAATGACATTGAGGGACAAAGAGGACAGCCAGGGTACAAGGGCTGGCTTTAGGGCCTAGTGGCAAGAAAACACGAGAGCAATGCAGGATCGTTCGACGTTGAGATCTGTGTCCCTACAGGGACACGCTGACTAGGATGGCATCTGATGCCTGCTCTCTGAGGACGCTCTGAGACAAGCCATGTGGGCGTGGGGGCTCAGGGAGGGCAATTCATACCAGGAGCCCTTTGAGCCGCTTTTAGGCCCTGACTTGGCAAAATGGGGTGAGGGGAAGGGGGCTGGGGGCTCCTCCAGGAGCCGGGGCATTGCGATATTTGGGGCTGTCGGTCCAGAACAGGCGTGGGGAACATCCAGCCCATGGGCCACGTGAGGCCCACCGAATCACGCGTTCCGGCGCCTCCAAGGCAGCGGGGCGGGACGTGAACGTTGCTAACTCTGCAGCAGGCTCGTTTTGAGGTTGCGAATGCTGTGTGATGTGGATACCCCCGTGGCCCCTGGTGGGAGAAAAAGAGGTCCCCACCCCTGCTCTCCCCAAAGCTGGAGGGGTGACAAGGCCCAGTGTTGCAGCTGCATCTCCCGGATGAGGTGACCAAGGATGGGGCGGGGGAGGGGCGGCCCCTGCCGTCCCCGCTCAGGGACCAGCTTGGTGGGGACTGCATGTCGCCCTCAGAGAGCGGGCAGCCGCTGCCCAGCACAGCAGCAGAGGGGCCGTGCTGCGCCCGCCTGGGAGGGGCCCGGTTCTCAGGGTCAGGGTCTGCCGTAAGCACTGCTCCGGTCGCTCGCTCTGCTGTCTGCACAGTGGGGACCAGCGTGTGCCGTGCGAGCTCCCACCCTGCCTGCCTGTCCCCGGCCAGTGATGTCAACAGACCAGCTGCTTCCCGAGAGCCAGTCTGAGCCCTGCAGGCGGGGCCGGTGCCTCTCGCTGGCAGCCTGGGCCCCAGCTGACCACGGCATGATCCTCTGAGAGCCCCAGCAGTCACCTGCGGGGCTGAACACAGAGGCTGTGCAA